TAATACTAGCTACTAGTGAGGGTGAGGCATGAGAATCACTTGAACACAGAAGGTAGAGGTTGCAGTAAGCCAAGATCATGCCATGCACTCCAGCCTGGGGAACAGAGCAAGACTCTGTGAAAAAAAAAAAAGCCAGGCACAATGTGGCTCACATCCCAGCACTTTGGGAGGCCAAAGTGAGCAGATCATGAAGTCAGGAGATCGAGACCATCCTGGCTAACATGGTGAAACCCCATCTCTACTAAAAACACAAAAATTAGCTGGGCGTGGTGGCTCATGCCTGTAATCCCAGCTACTCGGGAGACTGAGGCAGGAGAATTGCTTTAACCAGAGAGTCAGAAGTTGCAATGAGCTGAGATCACTGCACTCCAGCTTGGTGACAGAGTGAGACTCTGTCTCAAAAAAAAGAGAAAAAAATCATCTTGTATACTTGGTGTCCAGCACACGATAAAAAATAGACACACACAAATGCAGATAAATGTGACTCTAATCAAATGGCAGAGGGTGGGCATGGGGGCAAAAAGTAGAACCACAGATGAGCCAGATGCTAGAGTTAGCAGACAAGTACTTAAATAGCTATAAGTGAGATGTAAAATACAATGGAGGAAAACATTGACAAAGGGATGAATGAACAGTTTTAACAGATTATCTGTCAAAGAGTCTATAAAAGAGAATCAAGTCCAGGCACAGTGTCTCACACCTATAATCCCAGCACTTTGGAAGGCGAAGGTGAACACATCACCTGAGGTCAGGTGTTCGAAACCAGCCTGGTCAAGATGGTGAAACCCTGTCTCTACTAAAAATACAAAATTTGCTGGATGTGGTGGCATGTGCCTGTCATCCCAGCTATTGGAGAGGGTGAGACAGGAGAATCACTTGAACCTGGGAAGTGGAGGTTGCAGTGAGCTGAGATTGCACCATTTCACTCCAGCCTTGGCAAAAAGAGCAACGCTCCATCTCAAGGGGGGGAAAAAAAAGAATCAAAAGGATATTCTACATTTCAAAATTAAAATATGTAACATTTAAAACTGGCCAGGTGAGTTGGCTCACACCTGTAATCCCAGCACTTTGGGAGGCTAAGGCAGGTGGATCATGAGGTCAGGAGTTCAAGATCAGACTGGCCAACATAGTGAAGCCCCCTCTTTACTAAAAAATACAAAAATTAGCTGGGCATGGTGGCTCATGGCAGTAATCCCAGCTGCTTAGGAGGTTGGGGCAGGAGAATTGCTTGAACCAGGACCCGGGAAGAGGATGTTGCAGTGAACTGAGATCACACCACTACAATCCAGCCTCAGCTACAGAGAAAAGCTCCATCTAAAAATATATATATATATTACATATATATATATACAACTTACTGGATTCAAGAGAATAAGAAGGCAAGCCACAGACTAAGAGAAGTTATGTGCAAAAGATATATGTGACACAGGACTGTTATCCAGAGTATACAAATAGTACTTAAATTTCAACAATAAGAAAAATTCCAATAAATGTATATATCTACTATATATATCTAAATTCCAATAAATATATATATCTACTATGTATTCATAAAAATTAAAAAAAGAAAAAATAATTTAAAAATGAGCAAAAATCTTGAATAAATGCCTCATAAAAAAAATAAACAGCTGGCAAATAGGCATATAAAAAGATGTTCAACATCATATGTCACTGGGGAATTACACATTAAAATGACAATGAAATATTCTATATCTCTATTAGAAGAGCCAAAATGCAAAACATGAGCAACACCAAATCCTGAAGGGATGTGGAACAGGAACTCTCATTCATAAATGGCGAGAAAGCAAAATAATACAGTCATTTCATAAGACAGCTTGACAGTTTCTTACAAAACTGAATATATTCTTAACCTATAATCCGACATTCATGCTTTTTTTTTTTTTTTTTAAGATGAAGTCTCTCTCTCTGTGGCCCAGGCTGGAAGCGCAGTGGTGCCATCTCAACTCACTGCAACCTCCACCTCCCAGGTTCAAGCAATTTTCATGCCTCAGCCTCCCAAGTGGCTGGGATTGCAGGCGCTCATCACCACACCCAGCTAATTTTTGTATTTTTAGTAGAGACAGGGTTTCACTATATTGGCCAGGCTGGTCTTGAACTCTTGACCTGAACTGATCTGCCCATCTTGGCCTCCCAAAGTGCTAGGATTACAGACATGAGCCGCTGCACCTGGCAGAGATGGAGTGATGTCTTCTGATGTCTCAGTTCACCAGGAGAGAAGACCTTTCTGAGCAGAGGCTAGGTCCTTTAACCAGATCTGAGATCACATCAGGGAGGCAGCCAGCTGCTCCTGACACTGAGCAAGACTGCACACATGCTCCCCTTCGACCCGGCAGAAGAGGCCCCGTGTACCAGTTAGTTGCGTCTGAAAAGGTAACACGGAGTCTCATTGAAATCTCTGCACAACTTAGATTCATTCTTCCCTGAAATCTGAATTTTTAATAGAAAGGTCCAGCCATTTGGAAGGTGAGCAGAGGTCCAAACACTGCAAAGAACACATCCTTTGCTGGCGATTTCTCCAGCCTGCTGTCCATTTCTGAGAATGTTCTGTGAGGTGAATAATTTATGAATGATTTATGCCGTTATTGATTCATGGTCCTTAAAAGGCTGAGGTTAAAGGAGACTGAAGGTTTCCACTGAGTGGGAGCCCAGCCTCCCTGGAGGCATTTCTTGCAGACAGGACGCTTGGCTGCTCCACACTTGGGTGTGGGGTATCTCTAATTAAAAATATACCACAGTACAAAATCTTTTGTGTCAAGATCATGAAGGTCTTTGATAAATGTAAATATGTCAGAGAAAAGGTAAATTAAGCATTTAAATTATAGCTAAGAAACCTCTTTGGGAATGATGGGGAAGATCACCATTCCCAATCCTTTACTCCTTGCCTGTAAGAGGATGATAGGGCCACACCCTCTGCCATGTGACTGCAGCGGTGCCTGAGAGAGCTGGTGAGGATTGTAAACCCAGAAAATCCGAGCCAGGTCTCAGTTAATTTGGCAAGTTTATTTTGCCAAGGTTGAGGGTGTGCCCATGACACAGTCTCAGGAAGTCCTGACAACATGTGCCCACGGTGGTTGGGGCACAACTTGGTTTTGTACATTTTAGAGAGACATGAGGCATCAATCAATATATGTAAGAAGTACATTGGTTCAGTCTGGAAAGGCGGGACAACTGGAAACAGAGGCAGGAAGACCTGAAGCTGGGAGGAGGCTTCCAGGTCACAGATAAGTGAGAGAAAATGGTTGTATTCTCTTTTTTTTTTTGAGATGGAGTTTCGCTCTTGTTACCCAGGCTGGAGTGCAATGGCGCTATCTCGGCTCACCGCAACCTCCGCCTCCTGGGTTCAGGCAATTCTACCTCAGCCTCCTGAGCAGCTGGGATTACAGGCATGCGCGACTATGCCCAGCTATTTTTTTGTATCTTTAGTAGAGACAGGGTTCACCATGTTGACCAGGATGGTCTCGATCTCTTGACCTCACGATCCACCCGCCTCGGCCTTCCAAAGTGCTGGGATTACAGGCTTGCGCCACCGCGCCCGGCCGGTTGTATTCTTTTGAGTTTCTGATTAGCCTTTCCAAAGGAGGCAACCAGATACGCATTTATCTCAGTGAGCAGAGGGATGACTGAATAGAACGGGAGGCAGCATTGCCCTCAGCAGTTTCCAGCATGAGTTTTTCTTTTAGCTTAGTGATTTGGGGGCCCAGGATGTTTTCCTTTCACAGTATTAACATCTCCTCTCCATTAAAATTTGGTTTGGTCTCGTGACTTGTTTTGACCACTGAAATAGCAACTGTGATGCCAGACGAGGCTTTGAATGTGTTCACATGGATGGGTTTAGCCTCTGGGGCTTCTGTTACGCACTATAGAAAAGCATTTTCTGGGAGCTATTGGGTCTAGACACGTGGTGCCCAGAGCCCTGAGGAACCGCATCTGAAGCAAAGCAAATCAGCCAGCCCACAAACCTGCGGCAGACACTGGAGAATCAACAAGGAGGTGTGATAGGGTCTGGATGTTTGTTCCTCTCAAATCTCATGTTAATGCGACTCTCGATCCCTCACGAATGGTTTAGCACCATCCCCTTGATGATGAGGGAGTTCTCGCTGTTAGTTCTGAGATCTGGTTGTTTAAAACTGCATGGGGACTTCTCCCTTGTTCTCTCGCTTCCACTTCCACCATGTGATACACATAATGCCCCTTTGCCTCCTGCCATAATTGGAGGCTTCCCAAGGCCCTCCTCAGAAGCAGATGCCAGCACCATGCCTCCCGTACGTTCTGCGGATCCATGAGCCAATTAAACCTCTTTTCTTTCTAAGTTACCCAGCTTCGGGTATTCTTCATAACAACACAAGAACGGCCTAATACAAGGTGTTAGGAATTGGCAGATCCTGGAGGACACTGTCATCCATCTCCTCTTAATGACCTTTCACTTTATCTAAAGAGCACTTTCAGCCAGGCAAGGTGGCTCATGCCTCTAATCCCAACACTTTGGGAGGCTGATCGCTTGAGCCCTGAAGTTCAAGACTAATCTGGCAAACATGGCGAGACCCCGTCTCAACTAAAAGTACAAAAAAAGAGCTGGGCATGGTGGTGCATGTGCCTGCAGTCCCAGCTACTCAGGAGAGGAGGCTGAGGTGGGAGGAGCACTTGAGTCTGGGGTCAGAGGCTGCAGTGAGCCGAGATTGCACCATTGCACTCCAGCCTGGAGAGAACTTCTATATGACCCAGAAGTTCCACTCATAGATACATACCCACAAGGACTGAGAATAGGAACTCAAATACATGTACATGAATGTTTATAGCAGTATTGTTCACAATAGCCGAAAGGTAGAAACAACCCAAATATCCATCAGTGGACAAACAAAATGTGGAATAGACACATAACAGAATGTTATTCGACTATAAAAAGGAATGAAGTATTGTTACATGTTATGATGTGTATGAACCTCAAAAGTCTTAAGTGAAAGAAAACAGACATAAATAAATGGAAAAATATATATATTTCTATTACATACCCCAAATAGGTAAACCCATACATACAGAAAGCAAACTTTCAGGCATGGTGGATGGAACATGTTTGTAATCCCAGCTACTCAGGGGTTGAGGCAGGAGAATCGCTTGAACCTGGGAGGCGGAGGTTGCAGTGAGCCAAGATCACACCACTGCACTCCAGCCTGGGTGACAGAGCCTCGGAAAAAAAAGAAAAACAATGTATCTTGGGCGTGAAGGGCGGCTGGGTAATGGTAGCCGTTTGTGGTGATGTCTGGAAAGGCTTCAGAGGGCCTTTGTCTGCCGGAGAATGGAGCCTAACGACATCCTGGGTGTGGGTTTTATTCTGGAATGATAAAAATATTTTGGACCTTGATAGAGGTAATGGTTTACATAAAATAGTGAATGTACTAAATGCCACTAAATTAGTCACTTAAAATGGTTACTTTTGTGTTATGTAAACTTTACCTCAATAAAAACAAAAAAGAAAAGAATATGTCCATACAAATGGGGGATTTAATAACCAGAAATGCCACATGGGCTTAGGGTCATTTTCTCTTTCAATGAATCCACTCTGGAGTAGGAGCATACCGCTTTCCGAACCTTGCAAAAAAAAAATTTTTTTTTTTTTTACCGCCTCACTCCATCCCCAAGAAGCTTGCAAATTTTAATGTGAGTTAATTTACAAGTGGATTTGGGGTAATCTGGCTCTAGATCCACTTAGGCTGGGGAAAGGCATTATGGCATTAAGCAGATAAAGCCTCCAATCTAGTTACAGTTCCTTCCAGGGGTGAATAAAGCTTTGGGGACATTATCCAACCGGTTTAACCCAGGTTTATAAGGGCTGAACCTTCAAGCCCTTGAATCCCTTGTCACCATCTGCAAATTTAAATGAGCTGCCGCAAGGGGGCGGTGGTGTCCAGGCGATGACCTCCCATGTTGCGCAAATTCGTGGAAATACTAAGTTTCAGATTCTTGAGTTTCTCTCGTTGAAAGCGGTAGCAAGTATTCCCAGGTCACTTAACACGCCAACAGCCATTTAGAAAATATATACGTATATTAAAGAAAATACTTGATCTGGGAAAAGATCTTTGGAAAACATCATGTTCAACCAGGGTTATTAAACAGAAACTGGGTTGAGAGAAGGCAGTGACTGGGCCAGAGCCACAGAGCCAGGCCTGGAGCCCAGGTCTCGTGTGTCCACATCCCATGCTCTTGGTGCTGCTAAAGAGCACTTTCGGCCAGGCAAGGTGGCTCATGCCTCTAATCCCAATACTTTGGGAGGCTGATCGCTTGGGCCCTGAAGCCTTTCTCCAGCGTTCAGCACAAGCCATGCCTGGGTGTTGACTTTGTTGTTCCACAGCACAGCTCCTGTCCCACTTCACCGCTGCCTCCAAATTCCCACCCCAGCTGTGCCCCATCTCCTAAGCAGAGCTGGCGGTCCGAGGGCAGTGACTGCGGACGAGCGTCCACGCGGGGAGGACGAACTGTCAAAGCCGCCACCATCTGTCGAGACCTAGAAGGACGCACACAGCACCGGCAGGCGGCCAGGAGAGTGGCGGACGCAGTGGGTTATCCAGCATCAGCCTCGGAGGCTCACTGCTTCACTTGGTGACCTGTCCCGGCCTACGGGTCTCCAGGAAGTCACTGCCAGATGCTACCAGGAAGGCTGAAGGGGGCGCCCCGCAAAGGTGGCTGAGGCGCCATTTCAGCGCCCGAGAAGCTGCCAATCTGCGCGGGGCTGAGACAGATCTAGGAAAAGGCAAGCAAAGATGCACGAGGCGGGTTTCCCAGTCGTCTGCGCAAATCATCCAGCCCCCAGGACACGTACGCACGTTGGCAGGGCGGACTCCGGCGAATTCCACCTCTTCAGAATCTGAACAGCCGGCCACCTTGCAGAGGGCACAGCTGGCCCTTCCGCCCCGTCTCTGAAAGGGCGGAACATCTTTCCTCTCGCTGCTTCCTACTGAATGCCCATGATGCCTAGTTGTTGCCAACCTTCCGCAAAATCCACAGGGCTGGATCATTTTCGGAAACTGCCACCAGAGAGAGCTCCAACAACAGAGCTGGATTTTACTCCCTCCCAGCTCAAAAAGGAAGTCGGGGGCGGGGAAAGTGTTGCTCTCTGCTACCAGCAGGTGCAAAGATCAGTTTTAAAAACGCCCAAGATTGTAACTACACTCCTAATCCGTGAAAAGCATATGGTGGAATAATGCTGGATCTGCAGAGTGACAGAATAGCTGTCCTCCACCATGAGTTTCCCTCATTTCAGACTCAAAGCAGAAGCCCTGCCTTTGCATTCAGTCTGTAGTGTTCTCTCCAGAGGACTAAATCCAGCACCCTCCCTCCCCTCCTCCGCCAGGCTTTGCAGCTCAGGAACTGCCCTTCCAACCAAAACAGAGCCCAGACTGTCACCTCGAACTTCGGAGGAGTCCCAGCCCCATTCCTGAGTATCCCTCTTCCCCAAGCTGTCCTGTGAAAAGTGATAAGAGATGTGACTGTGTTCTCCAGGCACTGAAATTAAAGTCAGAACCACTCTGGCTATAGATTCTATCCATGTGCCACTTCCTACTGCAGAACCTCCTCTCGGTTTGGGATGGGGATGTGAGTGATGTGGTGTTTTGCTGTCGGGGTGAAGTGGTTCAGTTATCCTAGAAGGACATCCAGCACTCGGGTCCAAAAGCATGACAAAGACCACCTGAGATCACCTGCGGCTTAGAATAGTCTGAATTCATGAGGCTTCCATCCTCATGTGAAGATGTCACTAGCACTTGTTCCTTCTTCTTGGGGTTATTTTGGCTCATCCAACAATTTCCTTGTTTATGTTTGGAAATAGTGGTAAAGAGAGGAGAACCTTTGGGCTTGTGGGCTTTTAGTTTTCATGCAAAACCTAAGGCCCCACCTAGTATGGGAGGCAAAGAGAATTGGCCCTGACTTTCAGGTTTGGGGGTTCAGCACAGATCACTTCATGGGCTCCAAACATTCCTGCACCCGGGAGATGTGCAAGGACAAGCATGAGAAAAACTATGCATCTGACCAGGTGAAGTGGCTCATACCTGTAATTCCACCACTTTGGGAGGCTGAGGCAGGTGGATCACCTGATGTCAGGTGTTCCAAACCAGTCTGGCCAATACGGTGAAACTCCATCTCCACTAAAAACACAAAAACCATTCAGGCATGGTGGATGGAACATGTTTGTAATCCCAGCTACTCAGGGATTGAGGCAGGAGAATCGCTTGAACCTGGGAGGCGGAGGTTGCAGTGAGCCAAGATCACACCACTGCACTCCAGCCTGGGTGACAGAGCCTCAGAAAAAAAAGAAAAACAATGTATCTGGGGCGTGAAGGGCGGCTGGGTAATGGTAGCCGTTTGTGGTGATGTCTGGAGAGGCTTCAGAGGGCAGCCGACCTGAGCTCCTCCTGCCCTTCACCAAGATAGGACTCCAGCCCTGATCTGCACCGGCAGGCACCCTTGAGAGGGACGGCAGGACCAATAGGCCTCCCCTGCTCAGGTATCATTTGCCATTCATGACTCATATATGAGATGGGTGGAAGGCACTCTCTGAGGCATCTGGGTTCAAAACTCCATGAATGAAGAGAGCACTTGCATTCTCTTTCTTCTCATGCATAGTCAAAATCACAGACTCTGTCCAAGATGGTACACACTTAGGGTTTTGGTTCAGGGTTTATCAGGCCCCGTCATCTGTGGTTTTCATCTTCATGTCAGCTAGTGCCTCCTCTGAAATGGCTTAGAGCCTTCATGCCATTGCCTCTGCCTTCCCCAGTGTCCCCATTTCACAGGGCAGCTTGGGGAAGAAGAGCGCTGAGGAACAGTGCTGAGACTCCTCTTATATTTGAGGTGACAGTCTGTCTTGGTTCTGGTTGGAAGGGCAATTCCTGAGGCTGTTAGTTCGAGACCAGCCTGGCCAACATGGTGAAATCCCGTCTCTACAAAAAGGACAAAAAGAAAAGTTAGCCAGGAGTGGTGGTGTATGCCTGTAGTCCCAGCTACTCGGGAGGTTGTGGCAAGGAAATCGCTTGATACCCAGAGGTCGAGGCTGCAGTGAGCTGTGATCATGCCACTGCACTCCAGCGTACATGACACAATGAGATCCTGTCTCAAAAACAAAACAAACAAAAAAAAAACAGGCAAATCTACAGAACTGATAGTCCCAGGATCAAACTAATGATTTGCATGCTACATTCCTGAAGGAGACAATGAAAAAGCCAGGGCACTTCATAATGATCGAGGGGCTATGCCTGAGCTCAGGGAATCTTGAGCTAACCATTGGGACTGGGGATCTCCATTGCTGGGTGCTGCCACTGGAAAGCAATGCTCTGAATAATGGCTAAGTAACTTTGCCTCTAAAGATTTAAGGTGAGTGTCTTTATGTTTGCCATTCAGCACTCAGTCCACTTTCTCCTGATGCCTCAGTTTTCTTAAGAGGAACTCTCTCCATTATATTCAGTATTCATGTTTCCCCGCCTCAGGACATGTGACTCACACTTGGCTATTTAGAGTGTTACTATCCCTTGACCACAGTGGTTGACTGAGGTATGAACACATGACCCAATCAGAAGCATTGAGACTGATCAGAGATAGGCGTTCTCTTTCCCAGCACTTAAACCGCAGAGGATGCAAGCCTAGGGTGTCTGGCAGAAATGTTGTCACCATGAGGAGCCTCAGACACAGAGAGTGGCTGCATGATATAATTGGTCTCTGGATATAGATATGCCTGAAATAGTATGTGCTCCAATGAAAGCCTTTTCTCTCTTGCACCGGTTTAAGATGGCTCAGAGATCCTGTTGAAGGTCGCCTCTCTTCACCACACCCGGAGGTCATCCCGTCACAAGTGCGTTCATTCTACTTCTAGATAGTGGGCTTAGTCTTTGCCTCCATCCCTTGTCAGGTCTCATGGAAGCTGGTTGAGGCCTGGCTCCTCATCCTGTGGTCAGATGAGTCGATCCATGGAATGAGGGCAGGTCACAAAGCCCAGCAGAAAGCAGCCAGACATCTTTCTCGATACCCAAGTTTGTCTCCTTATATGTTTAAGGAAATGCTGGGCTTGTTTTCACAGAACACTCTCTGGTCTGCACCTAAAGCCCATTTCCTCATCTACAAAATGAAGTGAAAAGACCAAGCAATCTCTAAAAATCCACCACACCACCCACATTCTGTTACTCATGTGTGCATTTTTCAAGAAAATAAAGAAAAATGGCCTTATCAAGGATGGGGGCTTTGGCATTTGCAAAAAGCCTGAGGTTAAAGGAAAACATCATTGATGAGGAGATGCTGGCACTCTCCATTGATAGTCATCTGTGACTAGAAATGTCTCGCGTTGGGAGAAAAATGAGGGATCCTGGAGAATAACTGTCAAGGTGGCTTTTTGGGGGGCATTTTCATCTTTGTCCAGCCCCTCAGATCTGCAACCAAACCAGCAAAAGCAAATATGTCTCAGGAAAAACTTCTGCTGTTACCGAGCTTCCTGGAAATTTGCAGTTGCAGAACTGTGAAGCTCAGCCCTGAGTAATTCGTTTTTTAAAATAGCACTGTTAGTTCGTCCACATTGTGTTTTTTGTTCCACCAGAGCCGAGGGTGGTGTTTCTTTTGTTTATGGTATTAGTGTTATATTGTTGGTGATCTCATTGTTCTTGTTTGTGACGTGTTTACCTCAGTAGGGCAGTTGTAGGAGCCAAACCTGCAGAACTAAAGAAAAAGACTCCAATCTGTCCCTCGGGGTGCATATTACTCCTCTCTTGGATTGTTAAATTCTGATTATAGGCTGTTGATCCCCATTAGAACCACTTATAAGCCTAAACACTGTTCTGCAGCATCTTTTACCAATAGGTGTGTTTCATTCTGATCGTTGTGTAAAACATAACAATTGCTCTTTTGGGGGACTAGAACGGTTTAGTGTTCTCTGGCAAAGCTGGATAAGAAATAGGCAAAATATGACTCAAAACTAAGATAGGGCAAACAAAAAGACACTGTGCCTTGATGTCTATTTGTTAGGGATTTCTGAAACCCTTGGACTCTAGAGCTCACCTTTCAGGTCTTAGACCTCAGATAGCACTTCCTTAGGAAAGCTCTCCCAGACTGCCCACCTCCACATTCTTGGGACAGCAGGGACCTCCTCGACCCCTTCCTAGCACAGTGTCACCAATCTCCTCACCAAACCTGCATTGTGAGGATCATTTACAGAACTGGAGGATCGATTAGTTAACTGTCTTTCCACTAGATGGAAAGTTTCGGAGGAATCTTGTCAGGATTACTAATGCCTAGTATTTTGCTTAGCACACAGTAGGCATTTAATAAATGTGTTGTGTAATGCCTGCCTGCTGTTTTATTTGGCAATCCTCAATCATGCTACAGAAGGTAAGAAAAGCAAATGGATACATTCATAAGAAGTATGAGATGTGGAGAGCAAGCAAGTCAGTAGATTACAAGATATAAGCAAAAGTCATGGGATGTGTTAAGTAGAAGAGGAGATGAATAAGATGGAGCTGCAAGACACAGGAGAATTCCCTGAATTCATATGGACAATGAGTAAATCAGTAACCTGTGGGAGATGCTGAAGACAGATATGGTAAGTGGAACACATGGCAGAACGAAGCAGAGTGCTATGGACCAGTAGAGAGACATTAAAAGACCCAGTTGTAAGACACATTTATGCTACATCAGGGCTGACAGCTATTTGATTCCCAAAATCAGCCACTCATCAGTGACACCCATTATGGTCCCAGTTGTGTTCTGCCCAAGAAGCACAGATAAACAGAGCAGTTCATGAGGCTAATGGATGCTCCTGCTGTGGCCAGGAGAACTTGCCCCTGGCTCTCCAATAGCAAAAGCGGGTGTCCTTGCCTCAGGCACTTTCTTTCTGTTGGGTCCCTTCACTCACCCTCAGTTATGGTCCTTGTAACCACATCATTAAGGGGGAAAGTTAATATGTATGGGACGGAGAGGGAAACATGTGAACATTTCATATTACATAGCCCAGGATTCAGGAAGGGGACTTCCCACCTGCTTCTGGGGTCTATGTGTTAACCTACTCCATCTCTTTCCTCTTCCTTCTCACTGTGTGTTTAAAATTTATTCAACAATCTGTGTGATTCAAGTATCTTAACTTGATCTTTCCATTCTATTACCTGCATAATAGTTTGCCTGGTAGCACATTTGGAGGTTAATTCCCTACAGAACATATTGAAGTAGTGCATTGTGAATTAGCTACTATGACTGCTGATTAGGGTGAGAGATAGGGTTAAACTAGTTTCTGAATCTAGCCACTTCCCCCACCATAGAAACCACCTGCATTCAACAATTAACCATTGCCTTAAGTGCTAAAGATACAACGATGACAAAACAGCCATGATTCCTGCACTCATGAAGTTTAGACCAGAAGAAAGACCATCTGGTAATCACACAAATAAGTAACAAACAAACGTAACATTTTAACTAGTGATAAACCCTGTGAAGAGAAGGTACACCGAGGTCCTCTGAGAGCATATGCCAGGGGAATTTGACCCATTCAGAGAGCGTTAGAGTTAATTAAGCTAAGGGAAAAGGCATAAACATCCCAGGCAGAAGGAATTGGCTGTGCAAAGACCATGTGATGGATGATGTCATCAACCATTCATTCAGCAGACAGCACTGACTCCATGCTAGAGGCTGCAATACATGGGAAAAAGAACAGCTCTGCCTCCGGAAAAGCCCAAGAGGACTGTCAGACCTAGAAGAATCCTTAGAGAACCTCAAAAGGTTTCACCTTGCATGGAGGGTAAGGCTAGAGCCAGGGACATCCCTGAGAGTTCGGCTGTTAGTCCTGGGAGGTGTGAGCTTATGAATGGGCACTGGGTGTGGAGGGAGTCTGCATCCCTGGCTATAGTCTCACCCTCCACGAAACATGAAAACTTTTGATGCCCCAACTCAAACCTATCTCACTGAATTCCAGCTTTCGGAGAAATAACCAAGATACTATTCCCTGGCTTATGCTAAACTCTTTATACACATTGTTTTGTTTTTTTTATCTTTATAACAACCACGTGAGATTGCACTAAACTGACACTCAGAGAGAAGGTAAGTTATGCCCCCAAGTCATTCAGCTAATAAGTAAAAAAAAAAAAAAAAAAAAGAAAAAGAAAAAGAAAAAGAAAATCAAGATCCAAACTCAGGTCATTCTGGCCCTAGAGCTGAAACTCAGTGAAAACCAAGCTCTAACCAGGAATTCTGGTTAAAATAAAGCTTCAGCCAACTGGATACTCCAGGGTGTTTAGAAATGTGAAGTTTCTGGGTGTGTCTTGGTATTGTGGTTGTGTCGATGCTATTGTAGTTTTGGTATTGTGGTTGTGTCGATGCTATTGTAGTCTTGGTATTGTGGTTGTGTCGATGCCTTTGTAGTTTTGGTATTGTGCTTGTCTCTTGACAATGCATGCTGAAAATGCTTGCAGATTAAATGTGGCAATGCCTAGGTTTCACTTCCAAATAATCTGTTTAACTCGAGAAAGTAGTGTGTGTGTGTTTTGAGGGTTGGGGAGGCAGAGTGTGAGGTCAGTAGGGAAGGAAATAGATTGGCCATGAAATAGATTGGCCTTCATTATTTGGAGGTTGGGGAGGGACACATGAGAATTCATTCTAATATTCTCTTTTCTTTTGCATATGTTGGAAATTTTCCATAATTTTTTTTCCTCAAAACAAGTAAGCTCTGGGTTATGTTTCAAGGGTCCACTCCTTCATCTCCAAATCCTATAGAATTTCACAATTATATTTTACCCCAGAATTGGAAGTTGTATGGGGCTGCTTCAAAAATCGGAGTCATCAAAGATATAATCAAACTTCCTACCGCCGCATTAGCAGGCAAAAAAGTACCCAATACTTTCTCTACCGGTGCTGTGTTGGGCTCTGGGCTGAAACCAAGTCGAGTCTCACAGGCCCTCTGAACAGCCCCACCAGTTAAGATCTATCCCTGACTTCCAACTATGTAATTGGGGGCACGTTAATTAACGCCTCTTAGCCCTCAGTGTCCTCATCAATTATTACGTGGTAATAACCCGCTCAGGGAGTCGCCGGGAGAATTAGCTCAGCGCAGTGCATGGGGCTAGAACTCAGAGCCCAGCAGGTCTGACAACACAAGTTTCCCCGCTTGCCTGTTGGGTTTTTGAAACGCCCTCAGCGGCGTTTACCTCCTAATTCTGGTTTGGAGGAGCCATCTCTCTCCATCGCGTCTGCCAGTGGGGTTTGCTTGACACACAGTCGTGGGCAGATGGCATTAGGGACACACACGTGACAGTCGAGCAGGTTGCGGCGCATTCGCGGTTCCGGTTCACAGGACGCGGCGTGGGGTGGGTGGGGTGCGTGGGGTGGGTGAGGGCGGGATGGGGTGCATAGGAATGGGATGGTGTCGGGGGACAAGAGGGTGTTTGTAGTGGTTGGGAGTCCCGGAGATCTTTTTAAAATTCGGGTGAACAGTTCTCCACCCCTGAACTTCAGCGGGCTTTGGGTTTTTGTTTGTTTGGGGCTTTTCACCTCTTCTGAAGCACAGCGCTTGCCCCCAGAGGCCTGGCGTCGGGCTGGAGTCCGGCAGAGGGAGGGAGGTGACCCGGTATCCGCGCTCGCTGATCAGGGAGAGCCAGGCCTGCTGCTGGGGAACGGCTCTAGCCAGCCGCGCGCCCTGGCTGGTCACTGAAAGCTCGAGAGACCTTCGGACGGTCTCCGGGGCTGAGGTTGGCCGCCGCAGCGCGAGCTGGGGGTGCGGGCGGAGCGGCGCGAGGCGTGTGAAAGAGCTGGGACCGAGCCCCGAGGGCGTGGTGTGCGCTCTGCCTCCTGCAGCCAGGGGGCGCCCATGGGCAGAGCCGGGCGGGGCGGCAGCTACTAAGCGAGGCGTGAGTGGAAAGCGACCAGGCCGGAGAGCGCAGCCCCCGCGCTGTGTCTCCAGGCTCGCTCGGACCAGTGTTGGGGCACCCTCGGCTCAGCCCCGGGGAGGACGAAAGGGCTGAGTGCAGGGCCTAGCACCCAGTGTCGTTGGTGAAATACGTGCTGGCTGACCAGCTCGCGAACAGCTCTAGGGAGCAGCTGCTCGGAAACCCCAAGTCCAAACCCACTCATTGCCCTCTCCGTCCCCGACGGCCTTTTAATTACCGTGTCCTGGGCCGCGACAGCTTTCTTTTGGGGTGGGGCAGCAAGAGAGCCCCTGGGCAGCGAGGACATCGACGCGGTGTCAGGGAGGGGCTGTTCGGAGGTATCCTTGCTCCGTGCTCTTCCCCTTCCGCTGCCTCCCCCACACCCAGCTGTCAAGGCTTCGGCCGCGACTTCTTAACTGGCTCCTCCCTGACCGCTGAGCTGAGCCTCGGGAGAGGAGGACGAGGGGTTCCTTCCGGGACCTTGGTCCAGGCTCCCACCCGCGTGGTGCTGGGGTGGATAAGTCTAATCTGAGCACCACAGGGGCCGGACGCCTGGATTAAGGGGACTCCACAAGAGGATCTCAGAACAAGCGCTGAGTCTCTGAAACAAGCTGCGTGCGTGGAAGTGTGCACCACGGCCAGCGATTCCCGGGAGCCTGTCTCGACTTCTGCCAGTGCCAATGCAGGAGACAGAATTGCGGTTCAGAGGGTGCAGCGTGAACGGAAACCGAAGGGCAGAGCTTGGCTCTCTAATGACACCCTAGTGGTTCACAGCTTGGCCTCGAAGACTCGGTTCAAGTCCCCGCTCTCCCACTTACCAGTTGTGTGATCTTGGGGGAAGTTAACCTCTCAGAACCCGTTTCCTGCTCTTTAAAATGGAGTTTTAGAAACTTAAACAACGACTTCTGTCGGGACTGTGGTGAAGGAGAGGGATTGCGAGTGCGTAGTTCTTAGCACTGTGCCTGACGCAGGTTAAGGCTGGGGAAGTGGCAGCTGTGAGGCCCAGTGTTCTTGTAGCTGGCGTGGCCAGATGCAATCGTAAGCGAAGACGACTGACTTCCCACGGCAGAGGTGTGTGAGGCCGTGTGCACTCTGGTAGTCTGCATCCTGGCAGAAGAGAACCCAGGAGTGTCGGGGCCTCCAACTCTCAGCTGTCAGGGCTGAGGACACTGCGCTGTTTCTGCCCCTCCTGAAACCCGGAGGTCGGGATGCCTCCGTGCAGTACGGCTGGCGCCCACCCTAGAGCTGATTCCTGGGGGTTTTCCTGCAGCGAACGCCGGCAACCATCAAGGGCGACCTTGGCGGAACACATGTGGGCATCCTAAGGACGTTACCTCATCATCACACGATTCCTGGAGGGGGGGGGGGAAGGAAACTGGTGCCCAGAGAGGCGAAGTCACGCACTCAAGGTCACACAGCCAAAGGGTGGCCAAACTGGGATCCCAACCCACTCTGGCTCCAGAACAGGCCCCTCTTCCTTCCTACCTCTCTGTCAAGCTTAGTCCCAAAGCCTAGGACAAACCATCTAGTTGGAATGGGAAAGGCCAAGCATGTCCTGGGGTCCAGGACCCTGTGCCCACTGCGGGCAGTCTTCCTCCCGGCACCCATAGAAGCCTGTGCCAGACAAGTGTGTTTGCAAGGGGTGGGCCGGGTTGACAGAGGGGGGCTCTGAGCCCTGCCCTGTCCGCGTCCCTCTGGATCGCGCCTCGGTGCTCAGACTCCCGCCAAGTTTGACCCCATCTCTCAGGCGCCCTTGGACTGAGTGACTAAGGATCTCAGCACCTCTCCAGCCTGGGATTCGAGGAGAGGCTAGCCCTGACACCCACTTCCTTTCTTCTCTGGAACGCCCAGGTGCCAACGAAAGATGCCCTGGAAGCTGGTGTTCCTTAAAGAATGAACAGTCCCAGCTCCAAATGAGTCTCTCTGAACACATTTCTCTTCCTTCCGTTTGCCCGGTCCTGCAGTCGAGGTCTCTCTGGGTCTTCAGCCCTCTCCCCGGTAGATGTCAGCCGGCACGTGGGTGCCAGAGTCAAGAAGGAGTGCGGACCATACTGGGGACTTGGCTCAGGCCGCCAGGAGGCCAGGTCCTCTTTGGGGAAGTGAGAGCTTAAGGAGGAGGGAGAAAGGCTCTGAGTACGGCTTGGGGGCTTTCTTGAGGCCGCCGGGACAGCTTCTTCGTCAGGCATGTAGCCAGGAAAGAAGAAAAAAAAAACCTGTCCCGCGCAGCCCAAGGAGGAGCCCTGCAGCTGGGGAGGGGCAGTTTCGGCGCCGGATGCTAGGGGGCAGTGCTGCGCAGCAAATCGGCCGAGCTCCAGCTGGCAGCCCTGGGCAGCACATTGCTGAATTCCCTCCGTCTCTCAAATCCGCCGCAAAGTTCCTCCCAGAGCGCCCTGACGCCAACAGCCCCCTTGCCCCGTAACATGCGAAAGAGAGCACGGTCCTCTCCGCGCGTTGCTGTTGGTGCGGGCCTCCTGGCAGTCTGCTTGGTCAAGGCAGCTACCACCGGGTTGGTTTTCGACCACTGACTTGGCCCTAGGGAGGCGTAAGGTGGGGTGGCGGAGTGCTCCGTCGGGTTTTTGCAGGCCGGGTTAGCAACCTCAGAACAGAGGTTTGAGGGGACTTTTTCAGCCTGGGCTGGAGCCCCCGAAAATGCAGGCGACGCCTTTGAGGAAAAAAAAAAAAAAAAAAGCGCTGGAGGTGGGCCGCCTGCATTTGATCGCTTTCCGGATTTACGTAGAAATCCGTCCGAGGAAACGTCTGATAGAAGACAGAGAAGGCGGAGGCCCACCCCCGCCCAAGTAGGAGCCATCCCAAAAGTACAGGTGCGAAGGGGGGCTGATCCTTCTCTCCAGGATCCAGCGCCAGGCCCACTGCACCCCAGAATCGGTTTTGTTTGGGAAATGCTTTCTATCTTAGAGGAAGCTGTGTCCAGGTTTAAAATCTGCAGAAGCAGTGAGCAGATGGGACCCCGTGACGTGCGCGGGGCTTTTCCCACCCAAGAGGCTGCGAACTCCACTCCCTGTCCCGTCCGGGGGAAAAGAGATCGAACACTACGAGCTCCGGGGCCAAACGGGAGCCCAGGAGCTTGGTGAAACAGAAACAGGACATAGTCGCTTTGGATTTGGCCTCCTTTGGCTGGGATTTTTGTTTTTGGGTTACCCCCGCCAATAGTGCTCTGCAATAAATAAATGTGGGTGAATGCTATGGCCGTTTGTTCTTTGAAGAATTCACTAAAATTGCTTTCTGTGAGCGCAGAGGAAGAACATATAAACCACCGTTATGTAATTTGAAACCATCAATAGCCCCTTTTTAAGGTTGTCTTTATTGTGGGAAGTCAAGGTAATGATTTTGCCGCTGTCTAATTTCATCCCAATGTATGGCGTCGCTTGTATAGCCTTTCAAAGGTAAGTGAAAGGCATCAATCTAGGGCCCTTTTTGTGGCCGATTAACAGTTTAAACTGGTTTTCTAACCCTGTCACAACTATTGGGCTGATAAACAGGATTTCTGGGGAGCCATTAGCAAGTCTGTAAATAGATCATTTAAGAAAAAAACACACACCTCAAGCAATTCTGAGTTTCTCTGACAAAAATAAACCAGAAGTCCACAGGGGTGGGTGGTTGTAGATGCATATGTGTGTTTCTCACCTCCAAGAAGAGATAGTTACAAATGACTTCTCAAGAGTTATTTGTGTCCTAGTTATTATTACTACTATTGTCATAATCTTAGGAGAAAGTGAACAAGCTGAATACACAGGGATGGAAATCAATGAGCTTGTGGGTTCTGCATCGACTCTATCTTATTGTAGGAAATGACCCCCTTTAATCATTGGGTAAGGCTGGCGCGGCTGCCGACCTCTAGGACATAGAACAGTCCAAATAGAAATATCCCATTTTATTGCAAGGGTTCCTTGTAAGAAGATACTTCATGTGGACGGTACTGGGACAAATGCCCAAGGAATGACAGACATGAAGGCACACTTGACACCAACATAGGGATACCCATCCGTCACCTTCGATCTCCTCCCCCGCCATGCCACTGAGAAATAGTTTTTAAAAATAGAACAAAATGGCAAACCAGACAATTTGAGACTTAAATAAAAATAGCATTAGGCCCAGTCCCACCGGAAGCTTTTTCTCTTTGACGCTGCCGAGTTTCTCCGATGCAACAGATACCTCTAACTCCCCGTCCCAGGTCTCGCACCCAGGCCAGACAGCCCCGCTCCTGGGATCACCCGAGGGTTACCTTTGGGTGCAGGCGCGGCCTCTTTCTCCGAGGGGAAGGGCAGCTCCCACAGTGCAAAATGAAGGAGAAATGACAAGCAGCGGTGAAACCGTCTGCAGGCCCAGCCTGGCACCCGCCCCGCAAAGTGCTGGAGGAGGAGACGCCCCCCCCCCCGCCCCCGGACCTGCAGCTCCACCGGGACGCTCCCCGGGCGCAGCGGGCGGGACAACTTAGGCTGTCGCTTTTGTCTTTCAGGCCCCTCCTGCGCAAGTTCCGGGAGTTTAGGGCACCGGCCCGGAAAGGAAAAGGAGAGAAGGCCTGTCTGGGCTCTGTAGGAGTGCAGCCGCTGCCGAGTCCGCGCCCGGCCTCCTCCCTGGTGATCCCAGGCCCGGCCAGACGCAGAAAGAGGTTGCCCGGCAGGCGGGTACCCCGGTTTCGGGAGGGTTCTCCGCATCCCCAGCCGTCGGCGCAGGAAGTTGAGGCGCTCAACATGCCTTCCCCTCCACTCGACTCCCCGGCCCACGTGCGGGTCCACGCCGGGGACCCGAGAGCATCGCGACTAGGGGGCTGGAGGACGCCTCCCGAAGCGTCAAGGAAAGACAAGAGCGAGGGGGCAGGCGGGGCCCACGCGATTGCATTTCGCGCCCCGCAGCCTACTTGAAGCAGAACTCAGAGCCCGACCCGCACCCTCACTCCGGCCCCGAACC